TAAGGCATGTTATTTCTCTAATACAACACGCATAGAAGAAATGTAAGTGTCGACATACAAATCTATAAATATAGATAGCACGATGGTGAAATCAATTATAGGAACAACCTGGGGACTTTGCCGGCCACCAGGTCGTAAAAATGGGAAATGAGATGATACTACAAGATAATTATTACTTTTACTAAATTGAGGTATAAGTACTGTGTACATGAAAAAAGTTACTCACTTACATAAACATACACAAGTACATGTACATCTTATGTACATGTACATGTATATGTACATTGTAGGTTTGTGTATATGCAGATCAACATGTACAAACTTTAAATTTAATTACACATGTACATCATCATTGCTATCAAAGGCTGTAAATGTTACAGTAATAGACCGGTTGGTGCAAAGTACATGTACATGTATATTCACAGAATTTTAAGTATATTCACTGTGATACCGGAAATAAAGTAAAATTTTCCTACCACAATTTTGGAGTCTTAGTTTATTAAGAGTAGAATCGGAGAAAGCAATATCTTTGCTTCTATATCTTCTAGTAGCACTTAGTAAAGTCCATGAGCCCACTGCAGACACTGGATGATGGTTAGTAGCAAGATTGCTGAAATGATTGCTGTAACAAATAAATACAGCAGTTGTTAAAGAATAAGCTCTTCTTGCGATTGCTCCATAGACAACCATTGATTTTACTTTATTTACAGTATCACGATGAATATACTTAAAATTCTGTGACTGTAGTTAGCACCAACTGGTCTATACCAAATACATTTAAAACTTAATTGACATGAGTAAAATTCAATGTACATGTAGATGGCATAAAATAAGACACAAAATATCAAATGCATAATCATGTAACCTACATGTATATAGCCTCGGACCCCACTGACTATATAGGCTGGGTAATGGTCTGGCTAGCGAGACTAACAATATACATGTACATTCTTAGCGTTGCATTGCCAGGCTCCTTTCTAGGAGTCTGGCTACTACATTCTTGTCACAACAAGCTAGACAAAAATTATAGCTTTACCCCCCCATTGCCCAGATTACAACCGTGCAAGAGTTTTATCAAAATGATTGACTGTAGTTCTGGCTCTACCATTGCTTTATTCTTTCTTCAACAACTTGAATAGCCTATTGTTGGTGAGTGACAAAGTTATTAGAATACAACTAATAATAAAATATCATACTTCTAGTTGCTTTTTCCTTAATTTGTCCATAGCTCCAAGTCTCCACAGTCAGAGCCACAGTCCACTCTCCAACAAGACCTCTAATAAGACAAGACCAAGAGTAGGCTCTTGACAAGACTAAGACTGTAAGACAAGACACCAGTCTAGTCTGTTCATGTCCGTATATTATTGATTTACTGTCCCAGTTAACACGTGTGTACCCGTGGCACTGGACAAAATGGCGTTAATATGTAAGCATCAAAATCTAACTGTGTTTCACCGTATGGGACGCTTATACTTTACCAAATGCGTTATTTACCGATTGCCAATGATGCCTTCTTCACTCTTTAAGCAATTGGCCACAGGTATGTACAGGACTAGTAGTTGTAGTTATGAAAGTACTGTACGTTTAACAGATGCCAATATGAAAGATGAGAAATGGAGTCCCCAATCAAGAAGGACGGGTGTCATTTCTATTAAACTTGGCATGTCTCAACTGTGGGACCACAAAGCTCGACGCATTCCAGTGACACTTTTGCAGGTAAT